TGTCCGACAACTGAAGAGTGTCTTCAGTCAGAGGCTTCTTCAGTTTCGCTGCAACACTGACCGCTACTGGAGATCCTTCCTGCCAACAGCCATTGTAATATACCATAACTCTTTGATGACTTGATTATTATTATTATTATTATTCTGAGCTACTACAGCAATCAATTTCCCTCTGGGATTAATAAAGTATTTTTGAATTGAATTAAATTTGATATAGTATGCCGTGTATTATGATTTTTTGTGTGTCTTTGCCCTTTTATCTTACATCTAATTGTATTTGTGTAATTAAATTTAATTTTATTGATTATTATTAGTAGTAGTTTTAAGTTTCCTTTATTATTTCGTAATTTTAGATGGGTTAATAAAATCACATTTGATGTTGAGGCTTTTACTGGGTACGTGATTTCCTGGGCCGACCAGGAAGGTCTTTACTCTGAAGAATCAACAATTTTTTTCATTTTGTTTCTGTGGTTTTCTTTGTTTCCTTAAGTACCTGACTCATCTGACCTCATCCCAGTGTTTAGTCATGTCCTCAAGTGCGTTGTGTGTGCATGTGGCTGTGTGTGCGTGTGTGTGTGTGTGTGTGTGTGTGTGTGTGTGTGTGTGTGTGTGTGTGTGTGTGTGTGTGTGTGTGTGTGTGTGTGTGTGTGTGTGTGTGTGTGTGTGTGTGTGTGTGTGTGATTGGGTTGGGGGGAAGGATGTTTTAATTGTCAATGACATTTGTGAGATATGTGGGGTCTTTTTAATTTGTAAAGCACTTTGAGTTATATTTTTTCAATGAAAAGTGCTTTATAAAGTTTTATTGACTGATTCTCATCATAATTTTTTTGTGGACAGAAAATGCTGACGCTATATGCGGGTGATCCAAGTCGAAGGAGCTCGTGCAGGACAGGATGCAAAAAGATGTGCTCCAGGTGAGGCTCGAACTCACAACCTCGGCATTGCTCTGCTGCATACTGTCATATAAGTACCGCGCGCTAACCGATTGCGCCACTGGAGCTTCAATGGAGCTAGCTCCGGAGTTTGATTTATCTACACCAATACTTGAAACCGCATGATAATTAAAGAATATTGTATATTTTATTGGGCTTTGCCTTTAGGGGTAATTGCAATCAAACAGAAACAAAAGATGATGTTTCCAATAAAAGTCGATGATTTTACCGAGTTTGCTTACGGCAGACCCAGGTGCTGCGTTCACGGACTTTGCACAAACCTTGTATATAATCAATAGCGTATCGTTCTTTAAAAATAAACAATAAAAAAAAACGATTTTCCGTCTTTTTACTGGATATTTACAAATGTTATAGTGACTGCTCCTTTTGAATATAAGTTTTGGACTTAACATTGTCAAAGTGTCATGTTTGTTTGTAAATTTACTAAATAAAATAAAAAAACGATTTTCCGCTGTCGTAAAGAATAACGATATCTGACAATTCGTCAATCATTATTGTGTGATCTCAAATACCCCAAATGTGCTTAATTAAGTTAAATTAAAAATATATAGCCTGTTTAATGACTGATAAAACAGAAACCCGTGCAGAAAAATGTTGTGAAATAAAAAGTTTCGTTTTAAAACCAAAAAATGTTTCAAGAACAAAAAAAGGATGCTAGAATGTTATTTAAAAACCTGAATAAGCCTCACAGATTTAAGCATTTCAATTCACATTCTTTCAAAACAAAGTAATTTTATCATTTTCAGCAAACCAATCTAATTAGTACGGAAGCCAAGAGCTGCCTATCCACACAAAAAATGTTGGAGCAACATCACATTATAATACCCTAACTTTATTGTTCTAAGTATATAATTTTCTCATTCTTACAATATGTTACCACATTACAATATAGGGAGCAAAAGTATCCTTTCCGGTCGGCTCATGGGTCCCCAGAAAAACAAAAAATGTATGCAAGTCAATGGGGCTAAAAGAGCTATTTTCCCCTTTGCCTCAAGTCCTGAATTGCACTCTAATTTAAATGAAAAGATATGTGTGTTTCGACCATGCCTGTCAAATACTTTGAGATATATCAACTTGTAAAAATTTGTAATGGCTACAAATCAGACGTTGACATGTCGCATATGTATGACATCACCACATAATCTCCTCTGCCCCAGCATACTTACCACATGGCAAGATGGTTCTTTCCTCCTGGAAAAAGGATTCGAGGTTCGTTAAACGTGTAGTCATTTTTACTCTTCTTTTCTCTGACGTCAATAATATTTATATTATAGGAATGTGAAAATTTTATTGTAAGAATGACAGTATTATGTAAGAACGTGACTGTATATTTTACAAACGTAAAAGTTACATTGTTGGCAGTGTTGTGTCCGAATGCGTTCATTGAACGACCGTTCATGAATTCGCTCTGTTTTTTATTCGTGAATGTGAACTGAACTCGTTCGTATTTGGCCTGACAAACATAAAAGTGAGTGCGTTCGTCCTCGAGTGCATGAACAGGTTTATGAATGTGTTCTTTCGCCGTCCTAGCCAGGGGCGGCGTTAGGCCCGGCTACTTGGGTTGAAGCCCCGGATGTTTTATGAAAAGCCCCGGATCTAAATCGCGAAAGTAACATGCTGTACCAAAGTCCAACACAGAGGGAGCAGCTGGCAGTAGTTTGTATACAGGCTGCCTGAGCCTCCACCACTGAAGAAGAAACCCTTCAGCAGCCAGCTTCTTCTACACTCTCTGCCTGAAACTCATGAGTGAAGATGGACATAAGGGCGTTTTTTAGACAAAAAGTACAACGACAGAACCCCAGCTTTGATGAGACTGGTGTTGACTCAGGTTTGTGAGTCTTATTTGAAAAAATTTGTTGTGCTGCTGGTTTGCCTAAAGTTAGCTTACTATCAGGTAACGTTGTTGGAGAAAGAAAGGGAATATTTACTATCATCTCACACTTAACACTAGCAGGAGCAATATTCTGCCCTGAATATGCTTAATATGTAGCTTCAGATTAAAAATTATGTGGTACAAGACAAATATATATGATGTTGACTAGTGCGTGTTACGTGTGTTGTTATTTTAAGTTGTATATTTATATACTGTAATTAGATAATTTAATTATCTGATTTTGTATATTATACAATCTAAGTAATCAATCAGAAGTGGTTGTTTTTATCATCAGGGAGTTTACTTAAACACTCTGTATTGACTGAGAGACAAGAAAAGAGAGTTGGGATAGTTTAAGAATCTTTAATTTCTATAATTATAAATTCTTACAGTCTACCAGGACTATCTCAGTGATGAATGCATATGGATTTGGATGTTTCGTGTTGGTGTGGGTGTGTGTTTTGTTCAGAATCTCTAGGCTGAGTAGCAGATCTGGTTGTTATGACTAGGCTACCACGAGGCTTCGATTGCTGATGACATGAGCCGCCATTTTGTGCCGTGACCACGTACCGTAGGGAGTCTCCCGTGTAGATCAGGAATTGCCAGGTCCTCGGACCTTCATGGGTACTGGAGCTGGTTGAAACAGCAGTCGCAGCACACAACGTCCGTCTGAGGATAACTCCGGTCGTAGTCGGCAGGCGTCAGCAAGTTCACTCTTATTTTGAAGGAACGTCGTCTCGTTGGTACAAACGACGGAAAATCTCCAGCTTGACAGATTTCAGCTCAAAGTAGGAAGTACAGCTGGCCAGTCTGCAACTTCTTAATGATGACGATGGAAATCCTTAGGAACTCGGATGTCCTGGAGCTGAGTTTAACATGTAACTGCTTAACATGGAACTGACGTGGAACTGACTTAAAATGGCGTTGCCTTCTTTTTATATCTCCCAGTTTAAGAATCTTAGTAAACCGGATTGGACTACTTTCATAAACAAACCAGATTCTGCCCTACCACAGACGAAAGTTCTGATTGGTTGAAAACAATGTGTCATGCGTTTCCATGGTAATGTATATCAGTATGTCTGGTGCAGCCCTGTTTATACATTTAAACACATAACTCATGACATCTTTATTTCACAGATCATTCACCTGATTATTAATGATCAACAAATGCTTTGATTAGCTTATCACAAATAAAGTACTTTGATTAATCAATGAAAAGCGTTCTTCTTCTGTTCTTCTGTCTCTTCTCCTGGAATGTAAACATACTGAACCAAGCGTCCGACCTTGGCGATGGTACTGTGTGAAGGGGCAGCTGTTAAGGGCAGACCATTATAAACTTCATAACGCTACACGTGTGTGTGCACGCGCGCGAGTGTATGTGTTAAGCCCCGGATCTTCTTCAGTCCTAAATCCGCCCCTGGTCCTAGCTCCAGATGTCCACAAAGCTTTTCCCAACTGCAGTTGGCTACAGCTTGTAGCACGGGGCGGGGAGTGGGCACAACAATAACATATATGGAAACGGTGCCATTGCTTTCCGGACCTTCTCAGCTTCTCCGGAGCTAAAGCCTAGCTAAAATATCCTGTTAACCATAGAGTTTATAAAAAGTTGAACCCGCAAATGTGGCCAAACATAGGCAGTAGCGGTTGGTGCGGCGTCTACTCTTCTACGTCTATGCTGTGTGCAGGAGTCAAAGTTCATTCAGTAAATTGAAAAGGGACTTAAGTGAAACATTATCCATTTTTTAATGTTTTGCACTTTTAATATTGCACTTTGAGTTTGCTACCTCAGCCTGGTTCCTAAGATTGTTTAATAATTTCCCGTTAAAATAATGTTTTCCTCATTTTATTGAGAAGATACTGTAGTGTGTGGAAGTGCATCTTGCATATGCAGCAGACTGCATACAGCTCAAGGCAAGCTGTAAGCAAACATTATTTGTATTCTGATAACTCTTCTCATTCCTCATCACTGTGTCAAATAGCCATATTTTGTGGAGGCATTTTACAACATCCACACACGGAGGCTGCTCTGTGCATCAGGCCTCCCCAATCTGTCACACTCCTCCACAAGAGCAACACAAGGAGACACCACAGACATGGAGACATGATGGAGGTGGCTGTGAGACGGGGCAGGATATGTGGGCGACTCAGAGATCTGACACCAAACCCTGGAGATGTAGAATTTTTTTTTCTTTTTATTGTTCTCAGCATATTCATAATTCAAACACATGACAGACAGGAAACACGAACATAAACATTCTGAATGAAAGAGAAGAAACCATGTGACCCATTGGTCAGAGACATGCCAGGTTTAAAACTCAGAGGAAACAAACTGGAGAGCTGGGCGAATTAACCGACAATGTTAGGAGGCAGCAACAGAAGAGAGGTCTGGAAGCAGAGAAAATGTGATTGTTGGCTTAAAAGGAGGAACTCAGTGAAACTCAGTGAGAGGAAAACTGATTGTTGTTGTTTTATGCCTCTAAAAGTTGCAGGTTTGACAACTTCATGCCCAGTTCTGCTGGCAAAGAAGTGCTCCATGTTAGAAATGGGATGAGAGGAATTTACAGTGCTGCAATGAGATGAACAAGATTTACACAATGCTTCATGTTGATGAGAGCTGGCTCCCTGCTTCTTTTTAATATTTTCAAACCTGCAAATTCATCATGAATAATGACTGCTGTGATGGATGACTTCTTCTTGCTTGGTCAGATTTCAGGATGAAAGACCATTTAAAGCAGCTGTTTTAATGAAAAGCTGCTTCTGTTTCAGATTAGTGCCTTTTGTTTTCTTTTCTTTTTTAACGTCCACGCTGGACATTTGTCACTATGTTAAAACACTCACTCTCCAACCCCTGTCTATCCCCCCCACCCACCCCCAGCTTTTTACAAGCTGATGAAACTTCACAACAGTTCACAATCCAAACAAAGTTTACACAAAAGTTGTGTCGTTATGTCCAGCCATTAAAAAAGACACAAACGCACTCTCACTGCTCACATGCACCCAGATAGAGTAAATACACACACAGACTCCCAGCAGCAGTTGCACCATCACATCCTTCTGTTATAACGGTATTTTTGGGTTGAAAACAAGTGAGGATTTAGTTGAAGATCAGGTCAGGATCTTGGTCGTGATCGTAGTGGTCAGAAGGTTGGGATCTGGTCAGTCATGGATGACGATGGGGCCACGCATTCTCAGGCTGGGGTGAGGGTGCGGAGGGGCAAGGACAAGTCCCTGCGGGGGGGCGTGGGAGACCCTGCGTAGAGTGATTTGCTCGCAGGGCTGTCGGCAGGCGTGCCTCAGCTGGGAGCGGGACAGCATTCGCCGAGCCCTCCTGCAGGGGTGGGGCAGGAGTACAGTGGAAGACAGAAAAGAGCAGTTAAACTCCAAGTTTATTCAAGCTGACTGGATATTCTTGATCAAAACTCTTTACGTTTTTTAGGCCTCTGTTGCATTTCAGAAATTCATATATATGAAGTACAAAATGCTGACAAGTAAGTTGTTGATTCACTCTGGAGATAAAAACACTACTCTGAGAGGAACAACAAATCCAACTAACCAACACGTTTTGAGGCACACTTTGCTAGTAACATTTTTAATTGTTCAGTGATATTTGAAACTTTCAGTATCATTTCTGAAAAATCCAAGTCAATTACTTTTTAAACTTTATATATATATATATATATATATATATATACATATATATATATATGTGTGTGTGTGTGTGTATATATATATATATATATATATATATATATATATATATATATATATATATATATATATATATATACACACACACAAAATAAGCTTCAGCATCCTGTGGTTATTTCAAAATGTAAAACAAAAAACACAGTTTGTAATTTCAGGCATTTACCATTTTAAATTAGTTTTGTTTGTATTTAATATTAGAGAAGTCTTTAGAGACTACAATTACTTTTAGTAGCAGCTATTTGTTGTTCCATAACAATATTTCAGCAAGTTTCCATAATTAATGTTTGACATACTTATGAGAAGCTGAAATAGCAAAGAACAATGACAGCTTATTTATCAGTACAGACATTTAATCGCCCTTTTTCTCAGATGCAAACATTTGACTTTTTATTTATTAGTAGATCCAAACAGCAAAATGATTCTAAAACACACAGATTTAGAAAGCACTGAGTTATAAAGCTTCAAATCATTAAAACAACACAAGGTCAGAAATGAAAACTGAGGACATCAAATTGTAGCTCTAGAGTACACGATAACTTACTTTAGGTGGATTAACTAAATTGCAATGATAAAGCAGCAGCGGGAACACAGGAGGAAAGGTGAAACAACAGCTCTACTGAATTTTCTGAATCGTTGAAGAAAAGAGTTGCAGAGGTTAATGTCCAGACTGCTGAGGCCTTGGTGCTGTAATAGTACGAAGCTCTTAAGAGCCCACTGCACCAAAGCCAAGACCACGACAAACACTTACGGTCACAGAGCTAATGGAATTCGATCGGAGACAAATGTAAGGTACATGACCTCGATGCTCAGGTGATCATGGCTTCCTGCATTTTGGGATTTCAAACCCCTCCAATTCTCTGTTTTTTCCTCTTTGACAGATGTCAAAAACATTGCAGATTTTTTCCTTGAACAGGAAACAGGTTCTTGCTGTTGATAAAATTAGTGCAACACATTATAATTCAGTACATCTACAGAATGCATGCAACAACCGTCCACACACACCCCTCTTAAGTGAACGACACTCAGACTGATAAACTGCTGTTCTCATATGAGTCAGACCCTTCCTTACTCCCGGTTTGTCTTTTCTCCCGAGTTTTCATTAGTTTAAAACGTCTGAAACGTAAAACTGACAAAAACAGGATTACATTTATTTCTTAAGATAAATGTGTTTTTGGAAAAAAGTGAGAAATAAAGTAAAACATGTTTCGACTGCTTTAATAGTGCAGTTCTAGTGTTTTATTAATGCAAAAATTATGCAAGCAACTTTAAAATACGAAGTCATAAATTCTTCTAAAGGTCTGTCCTGTCATCGAACACGAGATTTTCATCACCTGCCAACAAGAGGTGGGCTAGAATGTTTTTGCTTGTGTCTGCGTTTGTTCCTTAGCAACAAATTGATACAAATGACTAATTTACCCAGCTCTTATATAAAGTAACTACTGGCTGTACGAGTGTTTTCACTTCTGGAGTAAACAAGATAATTAGTAAACAAGATGGCTGCCAGAGTTTAACAAAATTGGGTAATAGAAAAGGACTAAGAAGAGTCATCCCAACACAGACTGGACCACTAACTGATCTTTTCCATTAACACCATTAGGTTGTTTGCTGGTAAATAATTTCATGCACCACTGGGTAGATTTTGATTAAGGGACAGTAGAACATTGACAGGTGTGACCAACCTGTTGGTTGGCTTGGGCACACCCAAAGAAAAAAGCAGATGATCACATATGGTGACACTTGTGAGGAAGTCAAAATAAAATCAAGGCAATTCTCCTTTTCTGTTATCCATGTATGGGGAAAAATAACTTGATAATAACTTATTAGACATACATCTATAACTAATTACCTTTTGGAGTCAGCCCAATTCAAGATGGCCACCACAGCCAACTGACCTTAGAAAACACAAAAATGGTTATAATTCAACCAGTTTTATAGATGTGGTGCTGCTGACAGTACCTGAGAGTCATTCACAAAACATAGTCTGGCTAACAGATCACATGAGATCCTGTGAATTTGCGTGAAACTCAACATCTTTGTGTAGAGTCTCGGTTGCCCAGGGCATAGTAACCTGGAAGGTTTAGTTGGAAACACCTGGTTTTCCTTGTAGGTGCTAACAATCTTAACAGATCCCCAACAACGCCCACTTGTGCACTGTTTTGGTCACGTCTCAAGGGGTGAGTTTCAGTTTTACTGCCTGGGATGTCACCTTGAGATGTGACCAAAACAGTGCACAGGTGAGCGTTGTTGGGGACCTGTTAATCTCGTCAGCACCAGCAACACAAACAGAACTGAATAGAGGGAGGGGCCAGGGACTCGTGACCTTGATGGACCCATAGACACGAGTACGTGGATGCCCCATTGGGCGCTGAAGAGCGTAACAGCATCAACGCCATATTGGATGGGTCTCCTGACTCTCCAAAGACAATATACAGAGTGGGCAATTATGCCAGTTTTTGTGTAGCCTACGGTTGAAACAACCAGCGTACTTTTGAAAAGAGATCACATAGCCTACCTGATGGGCTTTTATATTTTAATGTACTTTAATTTATGTTGTTTAATTATATTTAGATTTTAATTATCATGCCATAATATGTCTGATTTTGTGAAAAAGCTTGTTAAAAATGTGTTTTTTTAGTTGGATAAGCACCTTCCTCAGTTGAAATGAATGCACTGGGGGCGAATGGCCGCTCACATTAGTGACTCCTATTTCCCCATCAATGTTTGTTTCAGACCACACCTATAAGACTCAAATTTCAGAACTGAAGAAGCTTCTTAGAAGGAAAACAAAAAAAGTCGAGTTCTTTCCAGCTAAACCTTCAAGACACAATATATAATGTTGAGGTTTGACCAGAACAACCATGAGAGGAAGAACGGTCTACATTCTTTCAAGGCATGTGATGCCTTTTATTACACTTCCATCTGTTTGAGAGTGACTTTTTAACCATCTAATTTTGTCCAGTCTGGTGGGCTGAACAGTTTTATTGACATTTTGCCTCAGATGGTTAAACTTCTGATGAGAACTGTCATCTCAGTTTCATGTCTGCTTCCCTTCCACTTCACTGAATAACTGAGTGATCTTCCACCCTTCATGCCTCTCTCTGCCCGCTGACACAATGTGTCCTTCATCACTCTGAGAGAAAAAGAGACAGACAAGGAAAGAGGAACTTACTTCAGATCATCTTTCATTAGCCTACGAGCAGATCTTTTATTCAGAGAGGCATTAATTGTCTCGCGGGGAGGGTGAGTGACAGGATGCTATAACGAGCAGTGCAGGCTTTAGATTGATGCCGTCCATGTCACACATCAACACTCAGCCATGTTGATCTCTGTGGCGAGTGAGTGATTCATGTGAGTGCAGCCATGGTTAATGCGGTAATGATATTTCCATGCAGGGCCCAGCCGTGCCTGGCTCCATCTGCACCAGTTAGCTGCTCTAATTTTAGCCGCGGCGGTCCGAGGGCGGCTGTGAGAGTCGGGTGCCATGGCTCAATTAGGCACAGGCTTAATGGAAGACCATCTTTCTTTGGCACATACGAACTCTGAAAACTTTGATTAGTTATGTGCACATCCACAAGTGAACTAAAGTATTTCCTTTTTCAAAACACTTTATGTTTAAAACAAAACAATAAAATACAGTCGATTTAAAACAGTTTATTAGAACATTTACCAAGCTATTCCAGTTTGAGGCTTAACTAAATCATTTTTTGATTAGATTGGATTCCTTCTCAGAAATCAAAAGCATCTTTACATCAAAGTCTTTAAGGGAGCACAAAAAGCTTTAAACTAAAAGCTAATGTCACTCTCTCCCAATGACAAACTCCCTTCTGCAGCTGTAATGATGTTGATGCAGTACAAGCTGTGCTAATGGTATGAAATGGTGTTCATTTTCAGTCTCCTAAGTGCTTGTGAGGGCAGAAGAAAGTGGTTTGATGTGCACCGTGTGACGTTAGAGGTGGAGACACGAGTCTTCTCACAAGTAAACAATGTTTACATTAATCAGCTAGCTTTACGTTGGCATCACAGATGTTTCTTATTCACTTTGCTAAATGTATTCCTAGTGCCAGATAACGGGTAAGGATGATACAGAGATGTAAAAAAGATGGAAGGAGAAAAAGGAATCAGATAAACGGAAGATGTTTAAAATGATGAAAGTGCATCAGAAGGATGGAAAAAACCTTTATGAATCAGACTTCATGAAATGGAATGAAGTTAGCTCCTGATTAGAGTTGTCACGGTAACCGGTGTAGGTAAACCCCGGTAAAAAAGTTGACAATAATAATAACTGTCTTGTTTTTAAAAAAAAAAATATTATCTCGGTGGAGTACCGTGGCTGCGATGTAGGCGCGGTGACCCTTACCAGCCACCACATCTGCTGAAGTTGCTGGCGGCACTTTGTTGTTTACAGCCAAAACTTTCTTGAAGCTAAAGCTGAAATAATGGCCAAAGGAGGAGACGGCAGCACTCAGGACATTTATTATCCCTCAAAGAAGACAAAATCGGATGTATGGGCATTTTTTTTGGATATTTGAAGAATGCCGAGGGACAGTTGATAGAAGATGGCTATCCTGTTTGCAGCACGTGCAGCACTGTTAAAAATCCAAATTGCAATTAGTTTGGAGAGTTTAAAGTTTTAAGTCAGTTGAACGTTTTAACTTGCAAAATGTTAAGTTAATACAGAAAAGCAAGCACCTAAAAAGTTGACTGAACTTAAAATTGTATTGCAACTGGTTGCTTTACTTTTTTAAGTTCACTGGACTGTCTTTTTTACAGTGAGGAAAAAGTGTCTGAAAGGCAGCAACGCTTCAAATCTCATGACACATCTGCGTGACCATCACCCTCAACTCTACAGTCAACGCAAGGCAAGCTAACGTTAACGTTTTAGCTAAAATGCATGATCTGAGGATTTGGGTTGTGGGAGAATGCAACGAGTCGCTATTTAAAGCAGCCGCAGCGCCGCTACCTGCATATAAACCGTGTCACGGACGCCCCCATACTGAAATGACGCTATGTATTACGGGGCTCCCAGGGGCAGATAAGAGCTGGTCTCTCTCCGAGAATAATTATGAATTTAACAATGATTACTGCCTGATGACATTTTCCCAAATCTGCAAAGAAGGACACAAACCGAGGACAATATTTTCCTGATATAGGGTTTATTACTCAAGTAAGGGTAAAAAAGTATCTGATTAGAAGACTACTTGATTACTGAGTATCATCTGGTCTAATATTTTTAAAATTATGACATCAAACAGACAAAAATAAGAAGTTATGGGCAAATATTGTATTTTAAAGACTAAAGGGGAAATATGTAAAAAAATAAACAACATAATTACAAAATAACACATTTTAGGGCAAAATTTAGACACAAACTGAGGACAATATTTTCCTGATATACAAGGTTTATTTAGTCTGAAAATGTAACACGTTTAAAAAAAATACCGCGATAATATCGAAAATCGTGATAATTTTGGTCACAATAACTGTAAGGTTAAATTTTCACACCGTGACAACCCTACTCCTGATAAACTTTCTCAGATTTCATGTTAGGGATGATCCACGCTGATGTTCTTTAGCCGGTTTAGAAAACATGTCAAGTTTATTACGTTTTAAACACTTCATGAAAATCTGTTTGCTTTGTAATAAAATTGATTGATTGATGATTAGTTGACTGACTGGTTGATTGGTTAATTAGTTTGTTGATTGGCTGATTGGTTAATTGGTTGGTTGATTGGTTAATTTATTAATTGGTTGGTTTGTTAATTAGTTTGTTAGTTGGTTGGCTGGTTGGTTGGTTGGTTAATTGGTTTGTTGGTTGGTTGGTTGGTTGGCTGGTTGATTGATCGATTGCAGCTTCTTAAGTTACAGGAATGATTTCATTTGTGTTCCATTTAAAAATCTGGATTAAAACAAACATTATTTTGATATTCTTTTTAATCAACATTTTTCAAAAAGTCAATAAAATAAATCTTTTGGGATAAATTCTGAATGCTAGCCTCAAAGTTGCCTTTTATAGAACTTAAAACAAAGATGATTTTACATTAACAAACAATAGTTATAGTTGTTTTGGTCAAATGTTGAAAATAAACTGATAACATGATTTCATGTAGATCTTAAAGGAATGACAGCTCAATATCTGAGTTTTAGACCTTTTTGTGTTTTCTAAGGTCATTTAGCTGTGATGGCCGGTTTCTGTTAAGGTCAACTCAGAATGGTAATCACTTAAAAAAATAAACAAAATAAAAATCACTCCAGTGGTGACATATTGATAACATGTCAAACATACAAACAGACAAGAGCAAAAAACATTATTGATAATAAGTTTAAAGGTCAGCTATTAAATAATCTCTCATTATAAACTCTTGATTCAGTCTCTCTGTTGGGCAGTTTACAGATGACTGAAGTCAACACAGGTTAAAAATAACTCCTTTTCAATCACAGCTTATCTGCTGTCAGTATCGCTTTTCCTACATGCACACACGCACACACACAATTAGTCAATCAGAGGTCAATAAAGGGTCACCTTTGCTTACCTGGTCTCCCGGGTGACGAGGAAGAAGCTGTCATCGGGAGCATCGATCCAGTTGGGGCGTCTCTTGCGGATCATCACTCCTCCTCGGTTGTTTCCACTGCTGTTGCGACCATTATGCTGCAAAAAAAGTTATTTTAATGACAACAAGCAGGGATGCAGGAGAGGAACGTTAGCTCAAAAAGTGAACCCACACATACCATGACAGGTCCAGCTGTTGAGCCTGGGTTTTCTGCAGGCCACACCAGAGAAAGGGGTAAACGGTCAGTTGTGAACAATATTGCTACAAAGCCATGTTTTAATTGAGGAAAAGGTAGAAAGTTCCAAAAGAAAAATTGATCAAAATGATGCGTTCTTCATTTTTATTAGATTTAGATGACATTCTGTTAAATGGGCAGAAAAGGTTCAGGGTCTATTTTGTTGAAATGCAAAAGTTTGTTCAGATCTAGAAGCGCTCCGATTCTAGATTTGAGGGCTGATATTGATGTCTGATTCCTGCACAGCCCTGATCTGCTCATTTCACTTCATCTCTAAGAAACATAACGATAAAGTGAGTTTTTTTAAACTCCTGATTAGACTGAAGAGTTTAATTCTGCAAGTAAAAATGTTTACATGAAAAAAAAATCAGATCTCATGTTTCTAGAAACACAATTAGTAAAAGAATAAAATGAGGGGTTCTTATTTTCTTGTAGGATCCCTTCAGTCTCTGAGTACCTGAGCGTCTTTCTGGTTCAGCCCTGCTGTGGTGATGGTAGCTACGTTTTCCCAGCATGCCGTGAGGGCCATGTGGAAGAGACGAGAGGAGGCGCCGAGGGGGGGGTGTCTGCAGTCCTGGGGTGCGATGGGAGCGAGGGGCGTGGGCCACTGGACGGGACTCTGGAAGACACATCACACCGGAGCTGCATGAAGTGGTTCATACAGACCATCTGAATATTTGATGACTTTACTGGTTTGACACTTATGAGGGCGGTGGTCTTGTTTCTTTGTGTGGATTTACCTAGAAACTGCACAACACTGGTCAGAGTGCTCCTTTGGGCGGCTCTGGTTTTGGGTAGTCGGGTCCCCTGGCCCTCTGACACTCTCAACATGTCTAAACCAAACACACAGATTCTTTATGTGTCATTGCAGTCTTATTCCCTTTTTTAATCCTCAATATTCAATAAAAAAGCTGTTTATGAGGAGTCTTCTCATGGAAATGAAGACTGAGGTATTTATGATCGTGTTTTTAAAAAAAATAATTACCTCCGACATGCAGATGTCCACACATGCTCACATGCACATCCAAACAAACACGTCCTGCAAAGGAGAGGGTATCACGAGGAAACACGGACAGATGCACCCATGCTGTGGGGGGGGGAGATGGGGGTGGTGTTGCTGCGGTTCCTCTAACTGAATGTGGAGTTGATGAACAAGATCACACAGACACATGAAGCACAAGGACTCAGAGAAGATGCTTTCAGGTGCGACTTTATTGGAGATGTACTCTCACATTCTCAGTCATGAAAGAAAAGAGCAAAATAGAGGTAGAGGAGGAGCCGAGAATATTGCAACAGTCTTTAGAAAATGAGGGATGGGGAGGCAAAGTGGAGAGAGAGAGAGAGAGAGGGATGAGTCTGATCAGCAAATCCTGTCCCCAGGATTTACAAGCCAGAGGCAGCGCTGGGATGGGGCTCTATGAATATTGTATGATCTGAATACAGGAAATTAGCTGAGGAGGATGGCAACTGGTGAGGGTCCATCCTACGAATGATGGGAGAGGGGTTAGGTCTCCTTAGGGGTGGGCCTGATCTACCAGCAGCAACATCAATTCTTCTGAATCTGTCTAACGCTCACATTCAAGCTTTCTCCGTACTTGTATTCTCACAAAACAAAGAGGATGAGAGGAATGCTCGTGCAAAAGGAGAGGAACATTTATGGCGATGTGCGTGTGAGACAACATAAAGTGGGCGGAGCCCTCCCAGAGGCACCATGTAAAATAGTTTCTTAGTAAAATAAATCTCTTAACTGCAGCAAAAGTATGGCTCAGACAATCCCCCCCCCCCCCCCCCCCCAACACACACACGATGTCAGGAGCAACGTCGTCAATGATGCGTACAAAAGCTAGGTTTGATCCATAAATCTGACCGCTATTCCAGCCTTTCCCTTTGAAGTCACCAAGAGCCACAGGTCAGAATTAAAATATAAAAAAGCAAAAACACGAATGAAAAGATGATCAGAACTCAAAGTTATGAGGACAGCCAGTCTTTATTGGAAACAGGGTGGGAGAATACAAAAACCAAAATAATAATAACAATAATAATAAAAACAGAAACAGACAAACGGGGCAGAGATGGGGGAAGTTGATGAAGGGGGAGCTGGGGGTGAGGAGAGGTGAGGTGTGTGTGTTGTGTTTTGTCTGCAGGTGTGTGTGTGTGTGGCCTTGTGGCAGAAGTTAGGAGGAATTGAAAGAGCTCTTACACTCTGCCTTTATGGCCCCACAGTTAATGGGAACAAAGGGCCGGCGCGCAGCACGGCGCAGCTTGATGATGTCCCGGCACATGTGCCGGGCCAGTTTGGTGAGGCGGGTTGCTTGAAGCAGGAAAGCCTGCTTGGTCTTCATGGAGGACTTGGGACTGCCGCTGTTTCGCATCGGTACCATGTGGTTGGACTGACGGGGGGCGTGGCCCCTGGAGCGAGACTCCTGGGACAGAGGAAGGAGCAGAAGCAAATGGTAGGAGTCAAAATTCTGCTGAAAACATTCATGACACATATTAGATCAGTCACTTCAGTTCCAGGCATCACTGCAATCACCCTGAAAATGTGCTGCTGAAAAGCTTACAAATTATTACATTGATGAAAAAAAACTTGTTTTTTAATTTTAAATTAATATTCTGAACGAAAAACTAACTTCAATTTAAAAGGAAGAAAATCCACTTTAAAGGTTGTGTTTTAAAAAGCGTTTGTGGATCCGGAGGCTCATGAGTTTGTTAGATTTTCCAAACCAGCCTTTTAAAACCAGTTTAATAACAATGAAGTGCAGCCTTCACCTACTAACTAAAACGTGTAAGCTTTTTTGTACAGGTCTAATGAATAACATTAATAAAGAGCTTAATTCCATCCCCATCAGCAAAGTCCTCTGCACAATATTTACAATAACTGCATGCCTGGGTGACTTTTTAAATATTTTTAATTCAAGATTAAATTAAGTCTAAATTCACTTAATCTAAATTCACAGGGTGCCCAACTGTCCTGTGGAGGTTCTTTTCCTGAATTTGATAAAAACAGGAAGCATTCTGAGGTGGCATCTTGGAACTGTTCAGCTTTCTCAACAAAAAATCTAAATGTGACCCAACAGTTATGTGCAATATGGTAGAAAATGCTGAATAATTGATGCCCTCTGAAACTCACAGCTTAACACTTTTATTTAGACTATTTCCCTTTTCTGTAATCCTTCAAAACTAGCCTGGCAAGCCAGACTAAATAAATGTAAGAATTTGGTCTAGTTCACTAGGCTACTTCAAAACTGCAGTTTGCATTAACTGCACTTCTTCCGGCTCTCGGAGGGTGCAGACGCTTTTATCCTCCTCTCCTCCATATCTTATCCTCAAGACCCTTTGTCTGTCTCTGTGTGCTGGGTGCACGGCTGCTTCTGCATTTTTTCTGGAAACTGAAATCCCTAAAATGGACCTCGTCAGTTGGTCACTCAATGCAATTGATAAAATTTTTTCAACGATGAGAACGGGAGAAGGGGCTCCCGGATGCCCCGCCGGGACAGACCCAGTTGGACACATCATGGACTCCTGGAAACAGTGGAACTTGATTTGTTTATCTCAGCTGTCTGTGGAGGACTCTGAAGATGTGTGGATATTCGTGGTGTTGGTGTCAGGTTTTCTGCTGATTGGCATTGGAGGCTACCTGGCTTACCGGAAAATTAACGAGCTGTCGAGGAACATTGCCCTGCTCCTGGAGCTCAGAGATGGTTTGCACCGTGCTGTGAATTCACAGACTCACATAGTTGTCGAGATGAATCGTAAGCTTGGAACTTTGGCTGAGATTCATTCATTGGCACAAAAGATGGATGCCATCAAGGATAGAGTGGACGAATCAGAACGGACTGGGATAGATTAATGTCCATTATTGGGATTTTGAGAGGTTGAGGACCAAGGAACTGTAAGACAGAGAGGAAATTATCTCTGTCTGGCCCCAAAACAATTTCTAATCGTAATCTGCCTGCAAGGCTCCAACGAAAACTCCCCCCTCAGAAGATATGTGGAATGTGCCGTCGCTATGGCAACTCAACCCTATCTCCTATCCCAGCCTGGGCGGGACTGCGGGAAGGCCGCCAAATCGTTCCAGGGTCACTGCAACCCTCCAATCCTCAATGCTCCTCCCCCTCCTTCAGACTGAGGTGACATGCGCTGCTTGTAGTGGCTGCAGGAACCGAAGTGTGGATAGTCCCAACCCACCGCCCCACCTAGTGTGTGATGTCTGAAGTGTTGCATATCTGTCTGAGGTGTTTTTTTGCAGAGCAAAGCTGCCCGCCCGGTGGAGGGTAACTGAAGTGCCTTTTTTCCCCTCCACCTGAACCAATCCTCATGTAACCCTCTGATCTCTATTAAGGTAGCGCGACTCAGGGTTGCAAATGACCAGTCACCAATTCTTGTCATGTGTCTTGCCCATGTATGTCTGATCTCTGAATTGTGTGTACTGAAATGCTAATTTCCCTCTGGGATTAATAAAGTATCTTTGAATTGAATTGAACATTTAAACATGTTTGGATCACCCACCAGCGCCCGACATCTATAGCTAGCTGGTTCCCTCTCACTGAGCTTACATTGCTTGCTGGGCTGGGGGAGGTCCTCTCCTCGGGTCCTTCGGCTCTGCTGGGCATCTTCAGACCTCCGTACTTCTTCCAGTACATCCAGCAGGAAACACACAGGCGACACTGCATGTTTGGAGGTCCCCATGAATACCATTGGGCTGACTGCATGGCTGTTAACATACAAAACCCAACCATGCTGATTAGTGGAGCTGCAGAAAATCCATCTCTCTCCAGCCATGTTCATTACTCCCTTAATAATTTTATCCATATTTATGCTCCAGGAGGAGCAGCAGCTCGCCTGGTATCGACTATAGACAATAAACAAACATCGGAAATGGTCCACAAAGATGTGAGGATAAAAGGAAACATGAGCAGCGGTCAAGTAGGGTTTAGATAAGAGTTGATTTTTGTTAAAACTAAGCTGACTTCAGATCAGCTTCTAGTAACACAAACTGATGGCAGCGTTGCTCAGGGCGTTCATGTTCGATTCTAAAGAACAAGTTAAGTGTTAAAACTCGCTCTGATAAAAGGCTAGGTGAGGTTTGACTCCCAGCATTTTAGTGCATTTAAAGTCCCTACAAAAAAAAAGCAGGAACTCACTCCATCATTGCTAAAAATTCTAAATAAAAATCTTATTTTGCAAGACAAATTTAAATTTATGGTTCAAGTTCCTGCACACATCAGGAAACTCGTCACAAACAATTCCAAAGTTGAGTTTCCACGAGTCAAAATTCCATCAAATGTGAGAAACTTTTGTAAGAAACGAGGCCAAACTGGAAATAATGATCAAATTAACTGAAAATGAACAGACGTGTTTAAAATATACATGTCCCATATGACCAGGTTAAATATAAAACAACAGTATTGTACATCACATCAGTTTGACACACACACACACACACACACACACACACACACACACACACACACACACACACACACACACACACACACACACACACACACACACACAAACAAACTCAAACACACACTTTTTTTTCTATTGTGACAATTCAGACATTTTGGAAGTTATTTACCATTAAAATACATACATTACACTCCTTCACAGAAAACAGGATAAAAGATTTTAGAATCCTAAAGTTTATTAGCGGGAGACCTCTGATGAACTGTAATGAACATCTAACCCCTGAAGTGGCTGCTGTTTTTATGGAAGTTTTTTAGAAAGATCCCTCCTAATAATTTATCTGCCTCCTGTGATTTTATTGTTGATGATTTTAACAGCAGACTTAAAGCTGCTCTTGACTTGCTTTTTCCGTTCAAAATTTAAAAAAAACTACGGTCAAGCACAGTTTACCCCAGAAAATGAGTTAAGCCTGGCGGCTTTGGCTTTCCCTACATCACCAAAGCAGAGTGGCTGCACGTTTTTCCTCGCTAAACTCTACTATAAAGCCTAGCTTATGCTGCGGTCAGCTCCATGAGAGACGCACAGGCATTGAAAGAGACACTCTGACACGTTAGCCTGTTTGAATTAACGTGTGCCATCAGAAAAATTCAAACCATTTTAAAAAGATAAGTTAAGCTTGCAAGTCACCTAAAGCGTGCAACACCGCACTCACTCTGATGAAGCATAAACCAAGCTTTAGAAATCAGCCTGAACCTGCTCCGATGTGGGAAGTCTCTCTCTCTCCCCCACTCAACTACGTCTCTCCCTCTCTCCCTCACCTACGGTGCCATTATTGTCGGCTCTAGCACCGCTGGGTGTGGAAAAATAAAACTGAAAATAACCTGCAACTCTTGTCAGCTGTGGAGTTGGACTCGGCTCTGGACAGTATACCCCACCCCCTCCCCCGCGCTGGCTGTTGCCGCCACCGTAACACGGGGAAACCCCGGATGTTAAAAAAAAAGTTATACAACAAATCCTGGATCAGTCAAAATCGCAAAAACCGCAGCTTTGACGGTCACGTGATCGTGATGTTTGAAATCATGATTTCGGTCTAAAATGATAGATCATTCAGCCATAATGTGGTGTGCCCCAGGGTTCAATTTTAGGCCCAGTGCTTTTTAACCTTTATATGCTCCCTCTTGGAGAGGTCATCAGGAGACATGGGGTGAATTTCCACAGCTACGCTGATGACACACAGTTGTACATCTCCGTGTCTCCTGATGACACACAGCCATTGGATGCACTTTTTAACTGCATTTTAGACATCAAATCCTAGATGGCAGAAAGCTTTCTCCAGCTCAACCAGGACAAAACTGAAGTTTTGGTCACGGTCCTGAGGCCGAAAGAGAGAAACTTTTACCAAAAATGCAATCAATGTCTTTTAATCCTTCTGAACAAGTGAAGAACCTGGGTGTGACTTTCGACTCTGTGCTGACTTTTATCCCACACATAAAAAACATTACTAAAATAGGTTTTTATCATTTAAAGAACATCGCCAGAGTCCGCCCCATTCTCTCTCGGGCCAATACGGAGAAGCTGATGCATGCATTCATCACCAGTAGAATAGACTACTAGCCTAGTGAACTAGACCAAATTCTTGCTTTGCAAAGTTTGTTCTAGGCATGCTCCAATGGAACCTCCGCAGCTCCTACCAGGACTCTGGCTAGCCAACCACAGCTCTCTAGAGGGGTTTCAAACACATAAAGAGCTGTGATTGGTCCATAATGGTGGACCAATCATAGTGCTCTATCTGCTTAGTGAACAAATCACAGAGCTTTATCCGCTTTGTGGGCCAATCAGGGCACTCTATATGCCTGGTGGGTGCGATGATGCAACAGAGTGAAACAAGAGTATGTCACATTCTTTGTCCAGTGGAATGCTTTGTTTTGTGTGTGTGCATGTGTGTATTTGTTGTTCGTGTGTGTGTGTGTTCCTTAGGAAATGGGTTGTGGGAATTTTGGGGGGGGGTGCAACTGTCATAATTATTTCTATATTTTTGGGGTGATTTTAAACTGTAAAGCTATTTGAGCTGTATTTATTGTATATGAAAAGTGCTCTACAAATAGTTTGATTGATAAAAAAAACTTAAAATTTCATTATTTATCTTTCTATCTCTTTATCTCTATCCATTCATCTACAGTTGAGAGCTAGAGATGCATGTCTCAAATGTCCCAAAGGCACTTTCATTTAATTATTTATTTATAATTAATGGCTCATATCCCATCATCCACAATTACCAGTAATTCTTGTCCAAAGAAAAAAAAATCCATCATGTTAAGCTAAATTAATGATGTATCGTCATCTCATGGATTCTCAAGTCAGGATTAAACTCCTTATTACACTCACTATTTTTCCCTCACTGCTCTCCATAACCATTTGCTGATTACGTGGGGGAGGGGTTTAGCATAAACAACGCTCTGGGCGGCAGCCACTGAGAAAAGGCTCGTTACAGCACACACAAACGTCTCAAAATAATAAGTCACAGAGCTAAATGCAGCATTCAGAACATTGACCCAGAGGTTCCCTGATCAAGCAGACGAGTGAGAGTACGCTTAATGACCGCTTAGAGACAGAGCAAGCTAGTGGCTAATGCTAGCAGTTAGCCACTATAACAGAGTATGGTGTGGTTATTCAATGATTCATAATTGTTTGTGTCTGCATCTAAATGCACCGATTGTTATATTATTTTCCTCAGCTCTACCGAGCGCCCCAGCTTAACAAACCAACACACGGCCTTAAACTTGCTCTGGTGTGTCTGTCATGCTGCCAGAAGCAGACTAGCAAATAGCATGAAAAAATGTGCCGGTAGACGCGTTCAGAAATAATGGCACAGCTGATAGAACGCAAATAGACCTCTCTACGATCTCCGAGCTTTGGTAGATGGTCATCACTTTATAATTCTCAACGGTCTTTTATCGTCTGAACGCACGGCCCTATTTGTATATGTTATTATAAACACACACCACCGAGATGATCACTGTCACATGACTAAACAATTACACATCATCACACTCCTCACCCTCTGAAACAGAAAACAGTTTTACTTATCGGACCAATTACTGACATCTTCTGATACAGATATTGATGCTGATATATCGTGCATCCCTAGTTCAAACCTTCTCTCCAGTCAGAGTAAATACATTCTAATACTTGCCCTTAATCTCACTCCTTTAATTTTAAAACGGCACTTACTGTAGCAGCTTTCGCAGGCTCTGCATCCCCCTGCTGCGTGGTAGGCCCCAGGGCCCGCTCCGTTCACCGTCGCCATCTTACCATTGGTCACTGAGATCTGGTTGGGGTTGGGTTTGTTGCTGTGAGAGAAGAAAAGACATTTAAGAACATGTATGACTTCAGCACCAGACATAAGAAAAGTCTCCATTTGTAAACTAAAAAACTCACTATGTGGGGATATAAACCTGCTTCAGCTTGCTTTCTGCCTCAGCTGCCTTCAGCCTCTTCTGCTCCAGGAGAAAAACAGAGGAAACGTTAAAACAACGCTCACCAATATTCTCCCAAACTATTTCAAAGCTTTAAATGAGTCATCTGCATCCTCATCTTCTTATTTTGCAGCTTGCAAATATTTTTGAATTCTACACTAAAGGAAGTGTTTTTACGTTGTTACATCTCAACCCGTCAACAGCTGTCCAGCTGTTTCTTAGACTTTCTGCAGTGTTAAGTTTGGGGTCAGAGGTAAAATCACATTTCTGACAGAAAACAAGCCCAACATATGGGAGGCATAAGTCTCTAAAAGGATGATAGGTTTATCGGCTGGCTTATATTGGTAACAATCCAGTTAGAAATGTCAGGATCAAGCCTTTCTTCCATGAAGCAACAGTCAACATTTGGATGGTTTTATTTATTCTCCCAGAGACTCGCAGGAGCCAGTAAAAGTACAATAAAGTGCGAGTGTGTGTGTGGTGGTGGGCATTAGATTTATATTGGGGGACATGTTGGCTGAAATAAACACAATAAACGAGGATCTTAAGGTTAATCCCGAATCAACAGAGTTTGCTTTTATTTGTTTTGAGTAGCTTAATGTGTTTCCTGGGGAGGTTTTTAATATTTAGTGCTCTGTGTTGTGTATTTTGGGCAAAAATGTCTCCCAAATGTGAATTCTTTACTAAATATTTTAGCATTTTAAACTCCTCAAGAATGTGACACTGTCAACTTTGGTGCTATTCCACGAGACAAGGTTTTTAAACCTTCACTGTTCCTATAAAGAGGCCATAATTGATCATTGATCAATCCCTTTCATATAAATTTACTGAAAACTTGTCTATGGTTATTGATGAAGTTATGGAATGTATATCCATTGAAGTGAGTATTAAGCAAACAAAAAACATAGTGATTCATTGTGTATACAGGAAACCAGGAAGTGACATTGACACATTTATTGTTACAATGGAAAGTATTTTAATGTTAAACAAAAGTAAGATAACATATGTGTGTGGAGACTTTAATATAGATCTACTGAAAGCTACAGCACATAAGAAAACTGATGAATTTCTTGAGTTAATGTACAGTATGAGCATGGTTCCCCTCATTGCGAAACCAAGTAGAATAACTGCTGATAGTGCCACTCTTATTGATAATATATTTACTAATAATGTAGAAAGTATTATACATAGTGGACTATTGATAACAGACCTAGCAGATCATCTCCCTGTATTTGCTATCCACGACTGCCATCCAAAGAAAGTAAAACCAGCTAAAACTTTAATGTATAAAAGGAGAAGAAAGGAAGAAGATTTACAAAATTTAAAAACGGAACTACGTAGTGTTAACTGGAGTAATATATATAGTGAACATGATGTGAATATTGCGTATAACTTATTTCTGGATATTTACAAAAGTATATATGATAAGCATTGTCCGATGATAAGACATAGTTGTAGAAATCGATATTCAGAGAAGCCGTGGATGACAAAGGGGATCCAAAATGCTTGTAAAAAAAAAGAACACATTATATAAGCTATTTATATCACACAGAACTAAAGAAGCGGAGCAAAAATATAAAACATATAAAAATAAATTAATTAATATAATGAGGATGTGTAAAAGGAATTATTATAGTAATTTGATTGAAAGGAATAAAAGTAACATCAAAGGAATATGGAACGTGTTAAATACAATAATCAAGAAGCGTTGTGACGGTCTAAACCACCCAGATTATTTTGTCAGTAATAACAGAGATATTTATGATAGACAGTTGACAGTAGAACACTTCAATGAATTTTTTGTTGGGGTTGGTCCAAAGTTGGCTGACAAAATAAATAGTGATGTGGACTCTGAATCCAATGGTTATGGTGACGGAGACGGTGTGGCGGATTCATTATTACTTGAAGAAGTGACTCAAAAGGATATTCTTAAAATTGTCAGAGCATGTAAAACAAAATTTTCATTAGATGGAGATGACATAGATATGTTTTTAGTTAAACAAACTATAGATTGTATTGTCGAACCACTCACGTATATATGTAATTTATCATTTAAAACAGGAATATTCCCAAATAAAATGAAGGTGGCTAAGGTGGTTCCTCTTTACAAGTCTGGCAATAGGCATCAATTTACAAACTACAGACCGGTCTCCTTGTTACCTCAGTTTTCAAAGATATTGGAAAAAATTTACAATGATAAGCTGGAAAAATTTGTAGAAAAAAATGGCATTTTATTAGACAGTCAGTATGGTTTCAGATCAGGTAGATCTACTGCACAAGCTCTAATGGAATTGGTTGAAGACATATCCACATCGCTTGATCAGAAAAAATATGTTCTGGGAATTTTTATTGATTTGAAGAAAGCCTTTGATACAGTCGATCACAAAATACTTTTATCAAAAATGGAGAAGTATGGTATAAGGGAGACAGCTCTCAATTGGCTAAAAAGTTATTTGAGTAACAGAGCTCAGTATGTCCAGTTGGGCTATCACAAGTCTAGCTGTCTCGAAGTTCACTGTGGAGTTCCGCAAGGGTCAGTACTTGGCCCAAAGTTATTTCTGTTATATATAAATGATATTTACACAACTTCAAAATTATTTAAATTTATTATGTTTGCTGATGATACAAATATTTTGTGTTCAGCAGAAGATATACAGCAACTTATACTAAAGGTCCAGAATGAATTGAGTGAGCTTAAGAATTGGTTTGATAAAAACAAACTGTCGTTAAATGTCAGCAAAACAAAGTTTATGTTATTTGGAAATAAAAGAAGTAGTAAAGAAATCTATTTGACTGTTAATGAAATAGCCATTGAAAGAGTGTATGAAATTAAGTTTTTGGGGATATTGATTGATCATAAGCTCTGTTGGAAGCCATACATACAATATGTGTGTTCTAAATTAGAAAGAAGCATTGGGATAATAAATAAAACAAGATATTCTCTACCACAGAAAGCACTACACACACTTTATTGTACTATGATTCTACCATACTTATCATATTGTGTCGAAGTATGGGGCAATACTTATAAATCTAATTTATTAAAGATTTGTGTTCTCCAAAAAAGAGTGGTAAGGATAATTATAAATTCTGGATATAGAGATCATACAACTCCATTATTCTATAATTCCAGATTACTCAAATTTTTTGACTTAATTCAATTTAAAACTGTCCTTGTACCGTATAGGGCCATGATGGGTGTACTGCCGTGTAATTTGCAAAGGATGTTTAAAACTCATGAAGAGGGTTATGAATTGAGAGGCGTTAAAAACTTCATTTTTCCATTATACCGAACAACTATGAAAAGTATGTGTGTATCTGTATGTGGTATCAAACTGTGGAACAAACTTGATGTGACTTTAAAATTATGTAAAAACATTAGATCATTTAAAATGTTGTATAAACAACTTATAATTGACTCGTACATAAATAGCAAGTGATAAAAATGGTAATTGGCTTCAAATGGAATATTTTGTTTTTGTTGTTTATTGGTTTTGTTTTCTTTTTCTGTAGATTCATGTGAACAATTGTTTTGTAACTGTCTTTTTATGTAGCAACTAGCAAGGTGAAGATAGAACGACCTGCATAAAGAAAAGTTTTTTTCTTTCAAATTTGTTAATGTGAGCAAATGTGATTTATTAACTGAATTGGGGCTGGACTAGATAAGCTTTTGCTTCTTCCAGTTCCCTCTCAAATGGTTTTATGTTATTGTATGTTTTGTATTGTTTCATTCAACAGCATATGTTTATCGTATTCCTCATTTAAAAAAAAAAAAAAAAATTTTTGTATGCACCAGGAATATGGAGGAGTGCATATGCAATTTCATGTTTTCGATGGTTTGAGATAAATAAATAAATAAATAAAATAAAATAAAATCTCACCTGCTGCACGTATCTGTCTGTGGTCTTCCACATATAGTAGTACTCTATGATACTGGTCAGAGACTTCCATGGCAGCTTCGCGGGCAGACAGAGCCCAATGATGAGTGAGAGTGGAGAGGAAAAGAGACAGAGAGCAAATTAATGGTATTAATATCTCATGTTCTTGCCATCTGGGTGAGAAAGGAGCCTTCATGTATATTCATGTGTGAGACATCGTGACCACAGAGGCTGAGAGCTCCCAGATTTGCTCACTTCTAGTCACAGTCGGGAAAACTCACATGCACTCAGACACATGCATGAACGCACACACAGTCATTCACACTAGGGATGCACCGATCAGGTTTTTTGCTGCCGATCACCGATACCGATATCAAAGAATGCTGATCACCGATACCGATCACCAATACCGATCACGTGGATTGGCCAGAAATTTTCTACAACATTATAATGAGTGCTACAAACTACATAATCTGGGAATAAAGGAAATGTAACCTAATCTAAAATGGTCTGTATTAGGGTTGTCACGGTGTGAAAATTTAACCTCACGGTTATTGTGACCAAAATTACCACGGTTTTCGGTATTATCGCGGTAGTTTTTTTAAACGTGCTACATTTTCACACAATTAAATAAACACTGTATATCAGGAAAATATTGTCCTCAGTTTGTGTCTAAATTTTGCCTAAAATGTGTTATTTTGTAATTATGTTGTTTGTTTGTTTACATTTTTCCCCTTTAGTCTTTAAAATACCAATATTTGCCCATAACTTCGTATTTTATGTCTGTTTGATGTCATCATTTAAAAATATTAGATCAGATGATACTCAGTACTCAAGTAGCCTTCTAATCAGATACTTTTTTTTTTACCCTTACTTGAGCAATCCGTATTTCAGGAAAGTATTGTCCTCGGTTTGTGTCCTTCCAGTGAGCTTTGCAGATGTGGGAAAATGTCATCAGGCAGTAATCATTGTTAAATTCATAATTATTCTCGGAGAGAGACCAACTCTTATCTGCCCCTGGGAGCCCCGTAATGCATAGGGTCATTTCAACATGGGGGTGTCCGCGACACGGTTTATATGCAGGTAGCGGCGCTGCGGCTGCTTTATATAGCGACTCGTTGCTTTCTCCCTCAACCCAAATCCTCGGATCACGCATTTTAGCTAAAACACTAACGTTAACTTGCCTTGCGTTGACTGTAGAGTTGTGGGTGATGGTCACGCAGATGTGTCATGAGATAAGAAGCGTTGCTGCCTTTCACAGACACTTTTTCTGCTCGTGCTGCAAACAGGATAGCTGTCTTCTATCAACTGTCCCTCGGCATTCTTCAAATATCTAAAATATGCCCGTACTTCCGACTTTGTCTTCTTTGAGGGATAATAAATGTCCTCCTGAGCGCTGCCGTCTCCTCCTTTGACCATTATTTCAGCTTTAGCTTCAAGACAGTTTTGTTGTAAACAAAGCGTGTATGTGCCGCTGGCAACTTCTGCAGATGATACGGAGGCTGGTAAGGGTCACCGCGCCTACACCGCAGCCACGGTAAACCCACCAAGATAATATAGTTTTTTTTAAAACAAGACGGTTATTATTGTCAACTTTTTTTTTTTTTTTTTTACCGGGGTTTAGCGCTACACTGGTTACCGTGACAACCCTACCTGATCGGTTTGCTTTGATCTATTTTGAAAATTCCGATCAAAACCGATAGGGGCGCTATCTGCCGATTACGATCAAATGCCGATCCATCGGTGCATCCCTAATTCACACATTTAATAGGTATTCACGAGAACCTACCACTAAAGCAAACACACCATATCCCAGCTTTGTACAGTACCGGGTAAAAAAAAAAAGAGCTCAAAAGAATCGGTCATCCCCTAAATGTTGGAAAGGTGAGATTTAAAATGGCCAAACGTGTCCTTTCACAGAACAACAGCTTCAATTGACACAATTACAATGAAATATTCCTGCAACATAATACGTCAAATGCTGTTTATGAGCATGTCAATCATCATGAGTTCACTAAAAAATACTTACAAAGTCTTGTCGTATGTCATTGAAGTCTTTTCCATATTTCTCTAAAGCCTCCTCAAACATGGCAGCTTCCGAGGCGCTCCACTCCTCCATCTCGTCCCTGCAGAGCACTGGACCCCCCGCTGGGACCAACACACTCAGAGCGCTGGACAGATCGTAATTGTGACGATGCAGCGTATCCATGGCGTGGAACTGAAACCGTGGAAAGCGGGTTAACATCCATGAATCAAACTCTGATCAAGTGGGTGCAGAGTGAAAGCGGCTCCAACTCACCAGTGTGATATCTCGTGAGGCTGCAGCTGCACTCATGTGTAGGCTGGGCTGTCTGACTGAACTGCTGCAGTCCAACGCTCTGGCAAAGGTCCCAACCGCCCTGAAAGCAGCAACCACCAACACACAGGAAACGCAGAACATGTATCAGTAGTTCTTCTACAATCCCATCACCTTTTTCATAAACACAACCTTAGAGGTGTAAAAATATGTTTTATGCAGCATGAAGCCTAACCTGATACTGCTTATGGACCCAAGGCTGAAAATAATATCAAACCCCCCTTTTAACTTTTTCTGGAAGTAAAATGCACGTGTAGTTATCTCAAACACGTGCATTTTTACTGTTAGTCAGAAGTTCAAAGGATTTGCTGCCTCTTAGCCAGGACTTTCCTTGCAAATGAGGTTTTTAATCTCAATGGGACCTTCCTGGTTAAATAAAGAATAAATAAATACATTTTATTCAAACAGAGATTGATGAGGTCACAATGGGCTAAACATCCTCTGTTTTTAGTTTGGTGAGAATTCTTTCAGGAAGCGGTCTGCAGCAGGGTAAAGGAGACCTACCGTGCCACCACTAGGAATTGATCTATCTGTTTGTCGGTGAGAGGACACTCAGGGTCCCAGAGTTTCTCTTCTAGTTTGGACTGGTCCCTGTCATCTGCCTCACCTGCAAAAACACAGGAAGTACCTCAGAGAATGCACAGAAACATATTTGCATATTAAAGAGGAAGAGAAGGATATATAATATGATCATATCTGCTTTTTGTGTGACTCATTTCTATCAGATTATTGTTGGATTGGCAGAAAACTGTACATCGTACCCTCCTGTAGCATTTCAGGCACGTCTGCCTGAAAGCGTGGTCCCACTCTGATCTCTCCTTTGTCAGCTAGCAGAGTCTTTTGTGTCGGGTCGTACACCAGTGAGTAGAAGAAAGTATCCTGACAAACAAAAATAAATAAATAAAATTTATTATTTATGAAGTCAAGAAATCACCATTTAACAAGCTTGGTTACAATGTAAGAAAATGTTGATATGCTGAAATGCCACAATTATGCATTTTATCAAACAGAACCGATATTTAAAAGCTGTGAATCCATACTTTGAGAAATAATATGCAAAAGCTTACCGCATTTCATTTGTGAGGTGCAATTCACACTCCGACTGCTAGGTGGCAGCATCTTTTACCGCCATCATTCTAACTAACAAGATCTCACGATAATACCAGAAGCATCTTAGATGTAGGTAGTAAAATTTTCATTTATCAGCTTTTAGTATCGTAATATATGGTATTGTCCCTGTATTGTGATAACTATTGTATCACCACATTCCTGCCAATATACACCCCAAATCCTGAGTATTGATGCTCATTTCAATAAATATGTGTGACTTTTAATCTGAATGTATTAAACTACATAATTACCAGTATATTAATTGGTTGTTTAATTGGTTTCATCTGGCACTTAATCACCTCAGAAAATAAACGAACCCTTTGGATTTCTGCAAACTTCAAAGAGGTTTATATTCAGTGATCACTGGGTGTAGTGCAATGCGTGCAGTGACTGTAAACTCCGTTCACTTATTCAACTGAACCCAGAAGAGTTTTCTGTGTAGTTTAGAGCAAACCTGCTACATATGATGTGCTCCAAAGTGAACAAACATCCTTTTTCACCCTTCAGGCTCACCTCTTTGTCAAGGTATGAAAGAACGGCTTCAGTCTCGTTCAACAATGCCACACTGCACTTCCCCCTGATGGAGAAGAGAGAAAAGGAGGCCCGTAGCATGTAAAACACGGACAAAAGAAAGTGGGCAATGATGCGTTTGTGGCAAAATGACCACCCGTGGGTTCTGCCTGCAGACGACATGCTGCCCTTTAAGTTTAATACCTAATATGCGTCGCAGGTAGGCTCTCATACTGTCGGGAGAGGAAGAGCTCTCTGTGGCGAAGCTGGTGTTTCTGTTTTTCTGTTAGTTCTGTCTCTGTGGGGTTCTCCTTCTCCTCTTCCATTTCCTCTGCAAAAGTACAGAGAAACAAATTACACCAGAAAACATGCTGAGAAATTCTCCCATTTTGTTTTAAAATAAATAAAAAATAACTACAAAGCACACAGATAAATCAAAAAACTGATTAAACTCAAACATTTATCCCTTTGGTGCGGTGTGACATTAGATAATTAAAGGTTAAGACTAAGAATAAACATTTACCTCATGGATAAGGAACATTTGTCCACAACCATAATGCTGGTTTTCTATATTAGTAGAGTACCATCAATCATATTTTGATTTAAATATTACAAACTCACTAATCCTCTTAAACAGCCATACTTCCTGTTTTCAGACACAAATATTACAAACCTTTTCTTCTTTTTAAAATTGGGACAGATTTTCCTGAATAGATCAAAAAACTAAACCTCAAATCTGTCACATTTCAACATTTTGAGAAAAAGGAAAAGTAGCTGAAGAGTTTGATGTATAACGTGTGTATGGTATGTAAAAGTTTTAATTGTAAAAACCGAAAGATAATTTCTGATATTACATTTTAATACCAATATTGATCTAATATTACTTCTTTTCTTTTAGTAAGAAACGTTGTGGCTAGTAGTTCATTTCTTACACAGTTTAGTAAAAAGTATTTGTTTACCTTACATGTTGAATCCCTAGTAATTTCTTAGTTTAAAGTTATGGTTGTATCCTTGACTGGTAGGCCTGGGAACCTCTGGGTACCTCACGATACAATACGATTGGCGGTACAGGTCTCACGATACGAAAATATCACGATGCAACGATATTGCACAAGTTAGCCTACAATAATCTAAGGCATTCGATCAGGTCAACCACTCTTAAGTTCTTTTGTTAATTGAGTGAAATAGGTGTCCCTGGTATCATTGTGAGGATTTTGGCATGTTGGCAATTCTAATCAGACAATGCAAGTGAAATGGGGCAATCCCACATCAGCCTCCTTAGTTGTTAGTAATGGTGCACCAGGGGGGATACTGTCACCTGCTCTATTCAACCTCTGCATGGATGATTTGTTAAATCAACTCAAGAACTGTAATACTGGATTAATCATTTCATGTATGCCGGTGACTTGGCCATCCTTTCGCACAGTAGTGCTGGTTTTCAGCAGCTGCTAAACAAATGCTCTGATTATGGGCTGAAGTATGAAGAGCAATTTAAAGCAAAAAAATAATAATAATAACAAAAAGAGTGTTGTGCTGATTTGTCCAACCAAAGGGGATAAAGATCTTTGTTTACCAGACTTCTACTTGGTTGACATGAAGTGTCTTTGACAAAGCTAAATATTTGGGTCACATCTTCACAGATCAGCTCTGTGACGATGATGACATATATAATGTCTCACTTTGTATGCCCAGGTCCATATTTGGTCAGGAAATTCCACGTGTTCTGATAATGTAAAATCTCACCTTTTTAGAACCTACTGCACACCTTCGTATACTTCACATTCATGGTAAGTATAAGAAAGCCAGCAGGCAGAAGCTTAAAGTGGCATAAAATGATGCACTTAGAACTCTGCTAGGGAAGCCTCGGTCCTGTAGTGCAAGTCTTTTATTTTGTAAGGCTCATGTCTGGACCTTCCAAGCTATAATGAGAAATTTGATGTACAAGTTAATCCTGCGGTTGAAGAGCTCTTGAGAACAGACTTGCCTGGATGCTGGTGGATCCCACTTTTAGTGCAGCGCATTACCAGTCATCCATGTGGAGACACTGGTATGCATGTCTTTTATAATTATTGTATCGTTTTAATCTAATTTTTTTAATGAGAACCTTTAGTCTGATAATAAGGTTGAAGTTCCATAAATAAATTATATATATATATATATATATATATATAATTTTTTTAAATGAAAACATATCTATAGCCTTTTAATTTTATTTTGCCCTGAAATTATTAAAATAGTCAGCTGCTTTTAAATGTCTAACAGTCACACTCTGTCCAAAATCAAATGCCTAATTAAGGCAACTGGACTTCTTTGGTTTCTTGAAGACGTTTCACTTCTCATCAGGAGCTTTGACAATTCTAACTGGAATATGGGAGAGACAAGTTTATAAGCTGTAGCTGTCTACTGTTATTTAATGAGCAGAAACTACTCTCTCGGTCTGGGCCCCCAAATTGTGGCATGACCTTCCATTGGGAATCAGGCAGGCGCCCTCTCTTCTGGTTTTAAGAGCAGGCTGAAGACCCATTTTTACACCATGGCATTCCTCTAGCCTTCTTAGTCGTTATCTAGTCTTTTAACTAATATCTTTATTGTTTTATTCCATTTCGTTTTATCTTAGTCACTGCATGGTTGCTGTTGTTTTACTTTTTATACCTTTGTTGTGTGTACAGTGCTTTGGTTCAATCTCTCATTAATGGAAAGCGCTTTATTAAATAAAGAGGATGATGATGATACTCTGATTCCCCCTTTCTCTCTACCCCCGAGGAGTCATTTCATCCTCCTGCATCTAATCAAAACGATGATTCCACACAATAAAGCCCAGCGACTGAAATGACTATTCAGGGGGTAGGGAGGAGGGATATTCATACATAGTTTCAGCAAACCGCTACAGTTTATAAGCTTGACTCTCCCATATTCCAGCCAAAGCTCCTCGTATGAGAAGCAACCAAACAAGTCCAGTTGCCTTCATTTGAACCCCTTTGGATTACCATGACCTGGATGACTGAGAACCTTCACTAGCATATTAAAAAATATCGCTCTAAAAAACTATTGGTTAAGGGCTTGACCTATTATTACCTTTGGCTGAAAAATTCGTCAAGCAAGAATTTGGTCTAGTTCACTAGGCTAGTTCTCTCCATGAAATGATCCTAGCTCTAAATCAGGTGAATTCCTTTGTTTACTGTGAGGTAGGCAGTAAATAAAACCCTTTGTTGTTTCAGCTTTTTTTTCTGACCAGCTGGCAAACAGACTCCCAAACAGCTTGAGGAACTAGCAAAGCATTGTGATCAGAACATAAACACATGGTGTGAATAATGCTTCTGCTCTGTGGATGGCCTGATGTTTACAAAGTCTGGCTCAATCAGAAGAACTGGTTTTCACAAGCAGTCCGATCACATGCATTTATCAACACATTCCTGTCTGTCCAGTCAGGGCTCAGATGGTTGGCTGCTGCTTTCAAGCTTAGTCAGGCTCAATAAGACTTTCAGATTGCTTCAATAAAAGTAGCTTCACTGTGTAACGAAGTATGTGTTTGTGGAAAAGAACAGGTACCAGTCAGGCCTTGCTGTACTTAAGTGTTCAGACCTGCTCACTAGAGGTGCTGAAAAAAATCGATTCAAGTCTGTATCGGGATTCTTATTTACAAAGATTCAGAATCGATTCACAAAGGTTCACAATCAATCCCAAGAACTCAAATGTTTGGCATGTTAGATTTGAGATGCACTTTTGTCTGTTTTTTTTATTTTATCTTTATTAGGAGAGTTAGTACTCCGTTTACTTTTGTGGTTCCATAAATTGAGATGACTTATTTTTGAATCTGCTGATAAGAGGGCACTTGAATGTAATTTTTTCCATACTCATTAATTTGAGATATTCTCATATTTATTTTCTAAGTTGATTAGGGTTGTCATGGTAACCGGTGTAGCGGTAAACCCCGGTAAAAAAGTTGACAATAATAATAAACCGTCTTGTTTTTAAAAAATATATATTATCTCGGTGGAGTACCGTGGCTGCGGTGTAGGCGCGGTGACCCTTACCAGCCACCGTATCATCTGCTGAAGTTGCCGGCGGCACATGCGCACTTTGTTGTTTACAACCAAAACTTTCTTGAAGCTAAAGCTGAAATAATGGCCAAAGGAGACGGCAGCGCTCAGGACATTAATTATCCCTCAAAGAAAACAAAGTGGGAAGTATGGGCATGTTTTGGATATTTGAAGAATGCCAAGGGACAGTTGATAGAAGACGGCTATCCTGTTTGCAGCACGTGCAGAAAAAGTGTCTGTGAAAGGCAGCAGCGCTTCAAATCTCATGACACATCTGCGTGACCATCACCCACAACTCTACAGTCAACGCAAGGCAAGTTAACGTTAGCGTTTTAGCTAAAATGCGTGATCCCAGGATTTGGGTTGAGGGAGAATGCAACGAGTCGCTATATAAAGCAGCCGCAGCGCCGCTACCTGCATATAAACTGTGTCGTGGACACCCCCATGTTGAAATGATGCCATGCATTACGGGGCTCCCAGGGGCAGATAAGAGTTGGTCTCTCTCCAAGAATAATTATACATTTATGACATTTTCCCAAATCTGCAAAGCTCACTGGAAGGACACAAAACGAGGACAATATTTTCCTGATATAGGGTTTATTACTCAAGTAAGGGTAAAAAAGTATCTGATAAGAAGGCTACTTGAGTACTGAGTATCATCTGATCTAATATTTTTAAAATGATGACATCAAACAGACAAAAAATGAGAAGTTATGGGCAAATATTGTATTTTAAAGACTAAAGGGAAAAATGTAAACAAATAAACAACATAATTACAAAATAACACATTTTTGGGAAAATTTTACACAAACTGAGGACAATATTTCCTGACATACATACATGTGAAAATGTAGCACGTTTAAAAAAAATACTGCGATAATACCGAAAACCGTGGTAATTTTGGTCACAATAACCGTGAAGTTAAATTTTCACACCGTGACAACCCTAAAGTTGATAAGTGAATACTCAGGATTACTCAAGTATTTATTTGAAGTTATTGATAAATGAGAGAACACATCTTCCTTTGTAAGAAATCTGAGGCACTTTTTTAAACAGGTTGAGGACTCAAATGTTTAACTTGTTTCCACACATACTTGAAAAGTATTTGTCCGTATTACTTTCAAAGCTACTGTTAGGTAACTAAAGATTAGTTATATTTTACAAGGTAAGCAAAAATAAATGTTGCCTTTTGGTCAAAAGATTGCTTCTGTTTAGAATCACTTTAGTTTATCTTGTAAATTTGCATTTTTTGAGCATGACCAGTTTAAAGTAAAATAAAAAATGTCCCATAGCTTTAACTAACTTGTACATCAAAGTAGTTAATCCTAGAACTGACACTCTTTGTTAACATTGACTGTGAATTGATTTAAATCGAGAATCGATTCTGAATCGAATCAACACCTAGAGAATCGGAATGGAATCAAATCATGAGTTGCTCTAAGATTCACATCCCTACTGCTCACACTATAAACCCCTCCCTAGTAATGACACCTGAGAAATAGCAATAACAACTGTGACTTATTATCTTCTGCATTAAAAATCCTAGCTGTGTTTAGCCTCGACCATCTCCAGAAACAGCAGTCATGAAAAAAGCCGCTCTGCGGTGAACCCCAAATAGGTTTAACTTGCGGTAAACGTTGTCGTGCAGAAACTCTGCTGACTGAAATGTCTGCCTGACTGGTACCCAACAGGGCTCGGGAGGGGGGGTTCCTCTGCCTCTCAAATGCAGCTGAAAACTATTTTATGACGATTGTAAAAAAAAAAAAATCTTCCAAGATCAAAAAATAACGACAATGAACTGGTTCATTTGCAACTGTTATTTATCAAAATAAAGCAATAAACAAGTAACTGATTCTGACTCCTAATAGCATGTTTGTTGCGTTTTCTCTAAAGAGGCACAGATTTTGGTCCATACTGATCTCCTGATTCTTGTGCAGGTCTGGCCTGCAGAAACAGATGTGGGCCAATTCTAATGGGTGAAGGACTATTATCAACAGAGGACATTAGCCGAGAACACACACCAGTGACTGCTGCTTGGCACTGATGCACTGGCAGATTCGGGGAAAAGACTACGACGTTTGAGCTGAATACTGACTGATGCCCATCACCACTCGTATGGGTGTGTCGCTAATTTAAACACATTTTTCACATTAATGTTTAATATAAGATCTAAAAGCAACTATTTCTGCCCTTGATTTGTTTAAGTTGCTTGTCAGGGACTAAAGATTCTCACCCAAAACAAAAGGAAGTACTTCCAACAATTATTAAACCAAACAAAAACTCAACACTGATCTGATTATTTTATGTTTTTGCTCAAGTTGATTTCTAAATAATAAATCCTAAAAGAGACAGTAACTTTCCTTCATAAACTAAAAGTGTGATAAAAGAAAAAGGGGTTAGCACTTACTTGCATGTTTATCTGCGAGCTGGATGAGGCTGTGAGAGATGTCTCTCCTTCTGTAAAAACAAACCACTTTGGCCTCAACATTCCCACTGGCGGTCTGAAACATAGAGGAGATAGATCCATGCTGACAAAAAAGAAGTGGAAAACACCTTTATGCTCAAAACTCAGATTTCCCCTGAGAGCCGGCTCCTTTGTATAGCTATCGAGCTCTGCCTCTGAGACAAGCTGACCAGTGTTTTCTAAAGAGATGATTGATTTACCGTCATGCTTTTTAACTCGTTAACACACTCAAACCGAGTTATTAAATGTCATGGCTCTGAGGGTAAATAGGACTAGCAGTCTTCATATCCTGCTGCTGTTTAGGAAAGTTGCAGGCCACACCAGTCATTTTCCCACTATTTTTATGAGCACTAAAGATTTACGCTACCATAATCACAATGAAACACGGCCAAACATCAACTGCTAATGACTTCTGGTTCTTTGCAGCTTATCCGACTAATATAAACAACACGCAGCCTGCATTTTGCTGAGGGTCAGGTAGAACTGACTGTATTCTCTGTATCGTGTTGCCTGTTTCCCATTATTCTGCCTTTTTTATGACAATGCAGCCCTGGGTTGGCACCATCTCAAATATGATGAGTAAGATTTCTCTGACGTCTTAGCACAAGTACAATGCAGGAAGAGTATTAGAAATGTTACATGCTACACATGGCTAAACCATGCTATTTTCGGACCTGCCGACCTTATCAAAATTTTTGAGTACCACTTCTGTGGCATGTTTTCGCAGATTTTTTTCAACTCCATTACTTTCCCCTTTCTCTTGCTGGAAAATTACTATATGATAAAAAAAATACAACACTCATATTGTTTGGCTACTTCACTGTCTGGATAAATTTTCTTGAATAGTCCAAAAAAAATCATGTATTTTAATAATAAACAGTAAAAGGTAAAAGTTGTGCTTGCTTTCCTATTTAATATGTGTGCTTATACAAGGTGATAGCCACAAGTTAACTGCACTGAAATATTTCAATATTTAATCAAAATTAATAAAAACAATTTTTAAATATTATTTAAAGGTAATATATTTCGTACATGGCAATAGGAGTTTTTGTTTTCAAGAATGTAATATTAAATTGGCTTAGAGCACATATCATCACTGGGGCTAATTTATACATTACCTGCAGCTCCCTGGTGGCTTATGTCCACATTATAATTGCAGAATGAGCAAAATGCATGATGAGGTAGTTTAGACTGGGTCGAAACATGGCCACTGTTCTTGATATTTAGGCAAAAACTTCTTAGAGACATGGACGGTCTTCTTTTTGGCAGGTCTGCTAACCAGTCCCTCCCTGTCTGCTTCTCCCTCATCTGCCATAGCATGGGTTGCAAATTGTGCTGCAAAATTTGTTGTCTAAATGTTTAAACAGTATAAATTATCACATTCCTCCTTATATACAGGCCAAATCTATCTGCAATGGATACATACAAAGGCAAAAGTACACACACACACACACACACACACACACACACACACACACACACACACACACACACACACACACACACACACACACACACACGCACACACACACGCACACACACACGCACACACACACGCACACACACACAGTCGCCTCTCTCTTTTTTTTCCCCACTTAGATTTCGGCTCAAATTTTTTTCAACGGTGAAAGTAACGTTACGTGTAACGGTTCACATTCACCAAGAGATGGCTGGTCCCATTCCAGTCCGCTGACACACACACACACACACACACACACACACACACACACACACACACACACACACACACACACACACACACACACAGTTTACTTTTTTAAATGCCAGAACAGCATCGAGTGGGAATCGGAAGACGGAGAGGCAAACAGCAGGCAGGACACAGAATAAAGAACAGAGGGGGGGGGGGTGTTACTCTATAGATTAGGCACAATTTTCTTTCCTCCGCTTTCTACGATGATTGGTTTAAACGTCTTCACCACGCTGCTGAGTTGTGTTGTCAGACATGAGTATCACATGCGTAATTGCTTCAGAACGCACGTGTCTTCAGCTTTTTGCGTAGTTTAGAGGGGTTGCATACTTGCTACACAAAATGCGTACAGGTTGGCAGGTCTGTACTTTGACTATTTTGGTCTGCTATTCAGAGACATAAGTAACAAATTCTTAACCTATAGGTCAAAACATGAATATCTAGATGTGGCTTAATATTAGCAACAACATAAAAACCTTATGAGACCACAAGCACTTTTGTACCTGGTACAAGCTGAAAATGAATCCCCATTTGGCAGTTTTACTGCAACATTATGTACTTTTAAAAATGCCCATTTCAGTCATTACCTCACAAACACAATTCCACACCCAAATGGGTGTGTGCAGTGATAAAATGACAGTTAGGAAACAAAGGAACACCTGTCTATTTCAAACAATAACCATGAACACAGGGGCATTAGGTGGGGGTTGGAGGCAGGAATCCAAATTATTCACCCTCAGGCAAAAACACCCAAATAAATGACACAAGCAAACAACGCAGTACCTTGTTGAGTTCTTCTATCCGACGGATCAGGTAAGGGTTACTTGAGGAGTTTTCAAAGAAAACATAATCTGCAACAACAAAACATATTGCGTCAGATCACTATGGATAGATGTTCCTGTGGGACAAACCTCAGATGATGTTTGATCAATGCTAAACTGCATTGCTTGTCTTTATTTTTGCAATAATTGCATTAGGATGAACTGTTTCAGTCACAAAGCAACGTTCTAATTATTCTACTAGTTATTTCATGTTTTAGCTGGGAAAACTTGAATTTGACATGTTTAGGGGTGGGTTTTATACAGAAGACTGCAGAACTTAAAGGTGACATCAATATTACAAGAACAACTATACAGGTGATGTAATATGTGATGAACCATTAAATTTAGGCTATTTCAAAAACCTAAAGTAGTTTAAAGGTGAGGTATGTATTACTATAGATGTAAAGTTTCATCCTTCTTTATAAGTCACACTTAAAACACCCATAATTCAGTTCTCCATAGTCAAACTTCTTATTTAAGCTATCCATAATGTAATTCCTCCTACCTACAAATAACATATTTGATGTCTCACACTATTTCTAAAACATAAAATCCCCATTATTATGCATTAGACCTTCAGAACCAGAAAAAAACAATGACATTCTTCCCATCCAGAATGCAAATCTCTTTTTAAAATATCTACAATCCATTTATTAAAAAGTAATCACAATATTAATTTCAAATAACCAAGGTAAAAAATTATTTCAGACACAATTTTTAAGTAAACAGAAATAAAATTCATGTTATTACATGTCAAAAGCTACTGCATTCGTAATTGAAATGTTTTTGTAGATGCATTCTGCAGACCTTTAATCCAAAGCGAGTGACCAATTAACCTAATTTTGCATGTTTTTGGTCTATAGGAGGAAACTGGAGCACCTGGAGGGAAAAACCCACACACGCACAGGGAAAACATGCAAACTCCATGTAGAAAACCTGCAGCTGGGATTTGAACCTGCAACCTTCTTGCTGCGGGACAATGGTGCCACCATGCAGCCTGCAATAACATCCATTATCAATGTAATCACAAATGTAAACAAAATGTTTAGTGCATTTATTAATCTTTGATGGGATGGTATTCTAACATAAAACAGGTGAAATTTAAATTAGCCATGACAACACTGGTGCTATCCTAGAAGCAGGTTGTCTGCTGATAATATTATGTTCCTAATATTATGTTCCATGGTAGGAAGACTGTTAGCCCAATACACAAAGATGGGTAAAACAATTCATAATAACCAAAGTGAGGTGACATTCTGGATAATGGATACAAAACATTTATCATTTATGTTAAGTTTTCTAACGGAGTCAGTCAATTTTAATTACATCTGCACCACAGTCAAGTTTAATGTCTTAAATGTTGGATAATGTATTTTATCTCTTATTTCAACCAGCGCCAATATATTTTTGACCAGGAGCAATGCTATTATTATTACATAGAACAATGATTAAAGGTGTGTGTAATTAAAGATGTTACAACGGCCTGCCATACTCAGCGACGCCATGAAGACAATCACTTGATGTTGAATTCCAGGAGATTGCTAACGAGCTAGCCGCAAAGCCAGACTGTCTGATAAACTGCACGTTAGATAACTTTATATGTACATTGAGGAACAAAAGTAGTGTTTTAATGCTACCAAAACGAGTACAGACACTGCGTGGCTAATGAACGAGTGGTGACGAGGAGATAATGGTAATCAATGAAGCCACTGCTGCTGCTAACGTTAGCTAAATAAGACTAATGGCTGCATGCCAGAAGAGGCAAATACAAAGGCAGCCACATACTGGCCGTGGTACGATTTGAACAGCCGTATAAACACACGTCTAGTGGCGAGATACTACCACGTAACACTTCTCACTGTCGCCAGCCTAAGTATTCACACTGCACAAAAGAAGCTAAAGGTGCCGACGGTAGAAAAATGTTTACATTATGAGCGAGCCACCTAGCTGCTGGCGGCTAGCTGCGGTGGCCACGACAGACGCGAGGCCTGACCCATTTTGAAGCCCAAATATTAAGAAAACACTCACCTTCCGCTTCAAACTAACTCTTACACAGGAGTGCAGCACAGCCGCATCTTACAGTTACATGCAAAGTTATTAATATTTTACAATAACACCCAGGAGATGCAAACCCGAAAGCGTTTCCGTCAGTTAATAAAATGATCCACACTGACATACATACCTCCGACCCGGTACATGTTGGCCGCCATTTCTGCCCTCCCAGAGTGTACAGCATAAACTAAGAAATTTGGAATAAATAATTAATAATAAAAAAAAGATAAAACTCCGTCCCTCGAAAGATACGGGGTGCTTAAATTAGGATCGTCGACACTCCAGATGTATCGGGAGAGATTTGGCATTCAGCCCCCCCTCCTCCACCACCGATTCACGGCAGCACTTAACAATACAGTGAACTCACAGCAGCAGCCAAAAGAAGTCGGATGGAGCCGAAAAAGCACCGAGGAGGGGAGGGAGCCGCGCATGCGCACTGTCTGCCACAGAGACCCTCCAGGTGAGTGGTAGCATAGGTGGCATTACTGGTTCCAAACCAACTCAGCTTCTGTGACAAGGTTTGCAGCTGCAGAACAGACACACACTTTTGTCAATAAATTTAAGTTTATTTTTCCTCTTCAAATATGACAAAATCAAAATACATTCAATCAATACATGAACAAATATAAATCAATTGTTTTATTGCAAGACTATCCATCTATCTATCTATCTATCTATCTATCTATCTATCTATCTATCTATCTATCTATCTATCTATCTATCTATCTATCTATCTATCCATCCATCCATCCATCCATCCATCCATCCATCCATCCATCTATCCATCTATCCATCTATCCATCTATCTATCTATCTATCTATCTATCTATCTATCTATCTATCGAGGTGTGACCAAGTCACTGCTTTGCAAGTCACAAGTAAGTCACAAGTCTTTCCAGACAAGTCTCGAGTCAAGTCCAAGTCAAAGACACCAAAGCCCAAGTCGAGTCCAAAGTCAACAATGTGGAAGTCCAAGTCAAGTATGAGTCCTTAACTTTGAATTTTCAAGTCATAATCAAGTCATCTGTCCAACTTCAATTTAATGACATGATAATAAATAAATTTCAGAAATAAAGCTTCTTAAAGCTTCATTTATTTGCTCAAACAAGCAGAAAGTGCAACTCAAACTGATTATAAACAAATTGCTGCTGCATTTAGCAGTAAATCAAACCCAGAATGGAGAATGATTCATGATATTTGTCCACATCGTGCCACTTTTGTGCTAAAATATCAAATATGCTCAAGTCATCATCAAGTCAACAGCTGCAAGTAAATTCAAGTCGCAAGTCATTGGCGTTCAAGTCCGAGTCAAGTCGTAGGTCTTTATAGATTTTATCAAGTCAAGTCAGAAGTCATTAAAATAATGACCCAAACATGGAGAACTAACTACAGATCTTCTGTGGATGCAGTCTTCCTTACATCCTTCTGTATCTTCATTTAATCCCAGATAAGGCCTCTGTGGGGGCACACTATCGCTTCCAGGACTGCTTGTTCTTCTTTACACTGAAGATAGTTCTTAATTACTTTGTTTGTTTGTTTGTTTGTTAGGGTTGACTCATTTTACATTTTGTAAACTGATGAAAACAAACAATCATTATTTATGTCTGAAAACATTCTTTATTTACAGCTATTTTTGCACATGCCTAAACTGCCCATTAACAGTGCAAAATCAATTCCCTACCTCAGGCTAATTTAGTTTCCAGGTATGAGACAGCAACAAAAGTACTTATTTTATAGCAAGCCATCTTATACATGTAAATACAAAGGGATGCAAACGTTTGGCCAGCCTTGTCAATCTTCATGTTTTTCCTGTATAAATTGTTGGTTGTTATGATAAAAATGTTATGAAAAAAAATCATATAGGAGACACACACAGTGCTTTCTGAAAAGTGAAATAAACTTTACAGGCTTTATAGAAAGTGTGCAATAACTGTTTAAAACAAAATTAGGCAGGTGCATACATTTTTGCAACACACAAAAGAAATTAACTCAATATTTATTAGACCCTCCTTTTGCAAAAATAACTGCCTCTAAATGCTTCCTATAGCTTCCAATGAGAGTCTGGATTTTGGCTGAAGGTATTCTGGACCATTCTTCTTTACTAAACATCTCTGGTTCATTCAGGTTTGATTGCTTCTGAGCATGGACAGCTCTGTTTAACTCACACCACAGATTTTCAATAATATTCAGGTCTGGGGACTGAGATGGTCATTCCAGAACATTCTACTTGTTCCTCTGCATGAATGCCTTAGTAGATGTTGAGCAGTGTTTAGGGTTGTTGTCTTTTTGAAAGATCTAGCCCAGGTGCAGCTTCAGCTTTGTCACTGATTCCTGGACATTGATCTCCAGAATCTGCTGATATTGAGTGGAATCCATGTGCCCCTCAGCTTTAACAAGATTCCCAGTCCCT